CAGGGGGACGGGTGCTTCTGGCACCCACGCGGCTCACCTTCTCTGCCCTAGGAGCTTGAGATGGCAGCGGGGGAGCTTCCTTCCGGGTGCTGGGACCGGCTGAGCTTCACTGCCCTAAGAGTCTGGGATGGAGGCAGGGAGCTTCCTTCTGGGTGCTGGGACCAGCTGAGCTTCTGTGCCTAGGCGCCTGGGATGGAGGCGGGGAGCTTCCTCCCGGGTGCTGGGCAATAATTGGGTTTTTAAAGGATATAAAGCCTTAAAATTTATCATTTTTCTTAATTATTTCCTTTTTTTGGTTTGTTTTAGTGACAAGAAATATGATCCTATCACCTACATATTTAGACTTACATCATTTCTCTTTTCATACATAGGTATTAACGTATTAAATAAAAAACAATCCTGTAGTGTTTTTATTGTTTATTTAATATTAGGTCCTTCCTTTCTTCTCTCCTTCAATTAATCTTTATTGGGAGCCTGGATATGGTTCAGTTACTTTGCTAGAACATGGGCACATAAATACTTTTTGAACACTAATTTCTGAGTGAATCAACTTTCTTCTTTCCCAAGCTTCTCCAAGAAGGAGTCAAATTCCACAATTGCAACATAGCTGCAGAAATATCAACAACTACTCAATAGTCTCAGTAATTTTGTTAAAGGCCTTGAAAAAACTTTAAAGTGATATCTTACTAGTTGAACACAAATAGCATTTTTTTGTTGTTGTTAAGAATTTCTTTTTGTAAGTTTATGCCACTTTTTCCTCTTTTTTTAATTTAATATTTTTGAAACAGGCTCTCGTATATAGTTCAGGCCAGCTTGAACTCAATATGTAGCCCAGGCTGGCCTCGACTCAGCCTCCTGAGTGCTGAGCCTATAAAGGTGTGCACCACCATGCCCAGCTAAACAGCATTACTTTCATCTGTGCTCATGGCTTCAAATGGATACTCTTGGCTCTACAGGTCTTCACTGGTGTAGAAGTGATATGTATGATATATTCTGCAGCTTCTCTACTTCATACTGGTTGAGAGACTTCGCAATGACCAAAGAACAATCTTTATGATTAGATGATTGATGAAAGATTGTGATGTCTATAAAGACTACAGGTTCCAACAGTTCTGACGGTAATTTGATCCTTCTTGCCAAAGGTAATGAGGGATTCGTGGAAAGTCCAGGCTGACTTCCAAATGAATTTTATGTAATTCTTCCAATTTTTAGACTCAGAGTTTTCTAAATTGTATCTGAGGTTATCTAAAAGAAAACAAAATAGAAACAAGCAGACTACACATAGAACAAAATATGTGCCATAATATCTCTCATGGTCAGGGACTCACCTGGGAAGTGAGTTTGTGAATTCTTTAATTATTGAAAAGGATTTTCTTGCCAGCCCTATAAGTCACAGTTTGCAGTCGTAAATTTTACAAAGGAAACCAAGAAGTCAGAAAAGTTCTGCTGAAAGCTCCCAGAGTCCACCATCCATCCCACATATTGCTACTGGGAATTTCCAAATTCACTTCCTGTGAGACCATCCCATACATGAAATCCTGAACCAAATGTAATTTTGTTGGTATGGAGCAAGGCCTCCCCAGTGAGAATAAAATCCTAATTTTCTCAGAAGGGTTGTTGACAACATGAAGAGAAAGAACTATAATTTCTCAACAAATATTGCAGAATCATGAATTAATGTGGTCTAATTCCAATTCTCCCATGTCGATGGGCTATTACCAAAATTCAACTGATTTCACTGTGATGTGTGGCTCAATCATTTTTTATCTTGACTAACAGGACTTCCTACTTTGTAGTCTGACTTCCACACTTCAGTGCATTTATCAAAGCCTCAGTGCTGAACTCTCCCCATGAAGTTGAGCAGAGAACTTCACGGGGAAAATTCACTCTCACACATCAGAAGTGTCTTCTGTGATCAAATGCCATGTTGGCCTGGAGTGGGAAAATAGCCACACAACTGTGGGTTGGAGTGTATGATAGTTAGCTTAGCAATGTGTATCAATATTTAAGTATCTGTCTCATTGTCCCAGTGTTTTTACTGCTAAAAATTTATCCTACAAGCATACCTGCACAAATTTATAAATGAAAAAGTATGAGGATATTCATTGCATGATGGTTGAAACAGCATGCATTTAAAAATGGTTACATCCAGGGGCCGGGGATTTAGCTCAGTGGTTCCAGCACCCCCTCACAAGCACAAGGTCCCAAGTACTATCCCTGGTACCAAAAAAAAAAAAGAAAATGTTACATCCATACCCCAGAATTCCATGGAATTGTTACAAAGTATGCAACAGATACAGATGTGCCTGAGGAGAGATATTCAATATATCATTAAGAAAAGTACAAGACACTGAAGAGTAATGTTGCCATCAACCTAATTGTATAAATAAAAAGTAGAGACATACATGTGTATAAGTATAAAAATTACATGAAGCCAGGCATGGTAACCCATGCCTGTAATTCCAGAACTCTGGAAGGCTGGGGCAGAAGGATCAAAAGTTCAAGCCCACCCTAGGCAACTTGGTAACTTAGGGAGACTCAGTCTCAAAATAACAAAATTTTTTATAGGGCTGGGGATGTAACTCAGTGTGAAAGCCCTGGGTTCAATTCCCAGTAAGGCAAAAAAAAAAAAAAATCTGGAAGATTATACAAAAATATTAACAGTGGTTGTAATAGTGGATATTACAAAAGTGAGATATGGAAGGGAAATAGAATTTTATCTTCTAGGGGCCGGGGATTTCCCTCAGTGGCACTGCACCTGCCTCCCCAAGCACAAGATTCTGAGCTCAATCCCCAGTTCTGAAAAAAAAAAAAAAAAAGAATTTTATCTTATATTTCATACAGCTCAGTAGTGTTTGAATTATTTTATGATTAAATATATTACTTTGATGATTTTTAGAAGTACTGTCCATCCTCTTACCACCTTCTTATATTATCTGTTCTAGCTTCAGCCACAAGGTTTTCTCAGAATTAAGATTACTTGTTTTATATTAGTTCTCTCCCAAATGAATATTTCCCAAGCTTATCTTCCCCAAAACACTTTTTTCTCTTTAAACATGACCTTTCCCACCACTTGAGCTTATGATTAACCAGATGAAACTACTAGCACACAGACCCCTCCAATCCAGGTAGTATTTTACAAAACGTTCATGCGGGGGGGGGGGGATGCTAACTCAGTTGCATCAGTCACAACACCAACAGACATTGGCAATGCCACAGTGTCATGATGCAGGAGGTCAAAGACCACTGTGCCCTGCACTGAGAGTCACAGTAGGACTTATCTGGAGCAGTGATGGTTCTGCTATTAGGACCATGAGCACTCCAATCTCAAGATACAGCCATTATCCCCGGATCACTGCCACGATAGACTCAAACAACTCCAGTCTATCGTGTCAATGTGTATTTGGGGAGTCTTTACCACATGGATCATTGGCAAGCTGTACCATAACAGCCCTGTAGGAGTCACGGCCATGTGTGGAATCAATGCACACTCAAGGACTCCCCCGTGCCTGGATCATTTGCAGCGCATCGTGTCAATGCATACTTCGGGAGCCCTTACTCCTCTGCCTGCAAGTGCTGAGGCCCAATGTACACCAAAAATACTTATGAAATAGTTTACAGTGCATACACAGTATTCACTTTTCTAAATGGCATGTCAGCAAGTTTAGAGTGCAACAAATAACTCCTAAAAGACACAAAACGCTCCTAGAGGCCCAACGTCATACAAGGACCATTGGCCCATGGAATTGTGGCATGGCTGTGGGGGAGTATGAACAAAGGGACAAGGGACAGATAGTTTTGCCAGGTAAACCACTGCCTCTGCTCAGCATTGTCTGGATTTTTCATATAAAGCCAACTACTTACTAATTATTTTCCTGGGCATTCAATGCCTAAGATCCAAAAGACTTTCTTGCTTCTGTTCCAAACCATCTAGAGTCAGGTGAGAATGCAGTTAGAGCTAGAAAGCTCCTCCGGTCTGCGGCCTCCTCACTAGCACTGTCCAACACAGAACACAAAGCACACATGCCATTTTACATGTTATGTGTAGGCATGTTTTCTTAAAAAGTAAAAAGAAACGTTTAACTGATTCTAGTGCTATATTTTATTTCCTTCAGTGTATCCAAAATATTAAATAACCGGTCAATACTTTTAAATGATTAATGAGAGGGTTACATTCTACTTTCCATACCACACCGAATCATCTTTGGAACCCTGTGTACGTTTTCCACGTGGAGAAGGTCTCCATGTGGACCTGCCACACTTCCGGTTCCAGGTGGTCAGGGCTGCCCTGGTGGCTGTATAGCTGAGAGGCCTAGGGAAATGAGTCCTGGAGCTTAATGTTCATTTTCTCCCTTCAACTACCTATCTCAAGGCAAGTGTGTGTCTGTCTTTCCACCTCATTTCCTTACCAGCGCTGCAACAGCCTTTTCCTAGCAGCCTGAGTGGATGGTCCCGTTTAGGTTTTTGCAATCATAAAAATGATCACAAATGTGCATACAGAAAGGAGAGAAAACGACTTCAGGCCCGTGTGATAATGCAGTATTAGGTCATCTTTCTCTCTCGGAGATGGAGCTGAAGAGAAGAGGGGCTGGCTGCAGGGGGAAGGGAAAGAGAGGGCCGCAGGGCACGAGGGTGAGGGTGGTGGCCTCGCTGCCACTATGCCGCCCGCCCGCAGGGCAAAGGGGCCGACCGTCTCATCTCAGGGTTTGTGGGGGTCACAGGCAGTCACCAGCGCCGCGAGGGCCCTTGCTATCCGGGCTTGAGTCTTGCCGCATACACAAAGCGGGAGGGAGGAGAGGAGAGGGAGACAGAGACAAAGACGTCGCGAGGCCAGGAAGCGAGCGCGGGAGCGGGGCGCCCGCGGCTGTGGGGGAAACAGGGCGGCTCGCGGGACGGTCGGGCGGGGCCCGGGTAGGGAAGGAGGGAGGCAGGCGAAACGGGCAGGTCGATTTGAATATCAGGCTCTGCCACACTCGGGGCGCCGCTGACAACTTCATTACCTCCGCATATAAAAATGACTGCCGGGGAATGCAAATGGCTCGCGCGCCGCAACCGCTGCCTGGCTCCCAGCGGGCGGAGGGAAACCGAGCGGGCTCGCGCGCATGCGCGCTGAGCAGTGAGGCGCGCGCCGCTGACAGAGGGGCGGCCCGGACTGCAGCGAGCTAAGATTTGCTGTCAATGAGACCTGGTGCCTTGGTCTTGACTCTGTCATCCTATTAATGCTGGAAATGCCAGAATACAGTAGTAGTACTCGGTGGGTACCGTGTGTAACCTTGAACCCTGATGGGAAAGGTGATACCCTCTGGTCCTGGTCGGCTGCCCAGGTGCATGGTGATCAACTTGGATGGACGTAAGCATCCCTAGCGCCCCATTTTTCTTCATCGAGCAAGCAGGGAAAGGGGACATGCTGCTTGCTCCCTGTCCCCTAGGCCATCATGTCCTTCTGCCACCAGGAGGATGCTGAGGCACCGTGTTGGACCCGCCTCTCCAATCCCAGGCCTGGCTAGGTTCCTCATAAGGAAACCGAGGCAAGTCATCTGCAGATGGACAAGCAATCTTTACAAGAGATTTTCTTCTTTGGCACAGAAATAGAGCGGAGCGCTTCACCGGCAGGAAGTTGCCTTCGCCTTGTGAACTCCTGGAGGGAAGGAGTAGGTCATTTTTTATTAATAACAGCAGCGGCAGCACGACAATAATCGGACTCACCTTTTGAAGATATATTAATTGCAAGACACTGCCAGTTGCTTTACCTACATTACTTTTGTCACAATAACTCTATTGCCCTCCTGGAAACGGAGGGTTAGCTAAGCCTTGCAAGGAATCCATAGTAACCTAGCTAGGAAGAGGTCTGTGCTTTTCACTACCCTGCAGTGTCTCTTTCTGGGCCCTTCTTTCAGGTCATGCTGTGGTTCTGCACCCCTGTCCCCTAGCCATTCCTCCCTCTCTCACCATGGCCAGGGATAAATCCTAGGTGGTCTACATCTGTTCCAATCAACCCTTTCTCATTGGCTTGAAAAAAAAGTGAGACCAATCCTACCCAAGACCACATGAGAGAACATTTGCAGGGGAGTCTAAGAAAGACTTCTGGTCTTTAAACAAGAGACCATGAAGTAATTCTCCTCCTTCTGACTCCCACCTGGTAACAGAGCCAGGCAACCAAGCTCCCCTTTGTGGAGATGGCAGAGGTGAGGGCAATGATTTCATACTGTTTCATGTTAATTCACAAATATATTTAAAGTTAATTCTTTTGGGGAACAAGTAAAAATACAAAGAAGTAAACAAATAAGATTCCAGAAATTCAGTCCTATGATACCCCCACTCTGTATCTCTTCATTAAAGGGGTCATGTTGCTGGGCACTGACAGGGAACCTCCCATCTTACCTCCAGCTTCCCCTCCTGGCTCTCACCTCCAGCCTCATCCGGGTTCAAGGCTCTAGGCAGGTTTCCCCCTCTCTGCTCAGGACAACTCTCTGCTACACAACTGGGTATCTCTCCCTCCTACACAACTGGGTATCTCTCCCTCTGTGGAGCATCAGGAGGGATGCTGGTCTGCACCCATACGCCCAGCCATCTTACCTTGACTGCTGTGAAATGCTGCTTACCGGCCTTGAGTCCTCTCTTTGGAGAACTTGTATCTCTTTGAGCCTTTTGGAAAACAATGCCTATTTGACCAGTAATGTACTAGTTCCTTTTGGCAACTGCTCTAAAACCAAACCAAAATGTATTTTTATTTTTTAATTAAAATTATGCACATTTTTTCATTAAAATATACCAAAACTATACCAAATAAATATTACATGTTTTATTCATTCATCTGAAGTCAATAAATGGTGAGTGGCACAAATATCTCTGCTTCCCACTACTGTGAAAAAGAAGCCCCAAGACCTTCAAGACCCTCCCTGGTCTGCACCTAGCCCAGGCCAGCTTTATTTGGCACCCTATACCCCCAAATCATACTGTTGTATTTTCCCTCCTTTCACCTTCTCTGCAGTTGGTGTAGAGTGTAACACATTCTCCACTTGATCTTAGCCAAAAGGCCAAGAAGTGATATGTACCACATTCTCTAAAATGCCCTTGAATTCCACCTCCAGCTATTCAAATAGCATGAATCCTCCCAGGTCCAGATAAAATGCCACCTCTTTCAAGAAGCCTTCCTGTTCCTCATATACAAAGTCACTAAATATTGAGTTATTCAGTATTTGTTCTCAGCAATATTTACCATATGTACTTTACTGACACTTGCATTCCTAAAATAATGCATATCTTCAACAATTGGAGAACTATTCTTGTACAAACAAGTGAATTGGGTGTTACATATTATCAGAAGAATTGTTTAACCTCACATTCAACTTAACAATCAGCTATTCTCTTAGATGTGATAAAGCTTCTTATACCTTGTTTTTACGTAATAGAAAACCTGTGTCTACTAACTTCACCAAGAAGATGTAATATCTCCTGTAGGAATTACCATGGTGACAGATGCCAAGGTTGGTTGAGTGGCTTAAAAATGTTTCCTGTTGTCAAGGACCCAAGTTCTCATCTTTCCACTCTGCCATTCTCAGCCTATTGACTTTGTCCTCAGATAGGTCTCCTCAAGGTCTCACATGGCTGTCATATTTTCCAGCTCACTTTAAGACACAACAGAGTTCAGGCAAAAAAAGAGATGGGCTGTTCTTACCTTAAATTTCTTAAGAATGGGGAAAATACACCCCAAACCCTTAGAAGATCTTTTTTTTCCTAACCCAAATCAGCCAGAACTAGATCATATGACTTTCTCTAAACTATCACTACAAAAGAAGGTGAGATTATTATAATCAATGACTAATCAAGATTTACCATTCATTTATATTAGGGAAGGAGAAGAGTGGTGGAGCAGAGGGTAGGACAGGCAGTGGCAAAACAAAAGCTGAATGTTAGCCAGTCTCCCCGTCATCTAGTCCTGAAGAATCACCATTCTCAAGCTTAGTGGCCTTAATACACTAATGTTTAATACACTTCTAATATACACACCATCTGCATATATATGTGTGTATATGTAACATTTTTCCAAGATTCTGGGCTGGACTCCTAAGAAATAAGGACTTCTGTAGGGTAGGAATTTTTTTTTAATGATATATATTGATTTAGTCAATAGCAAGCTGATTGGTTGAATTCAACTGATAATTTTTTGAGGAGATGGTAAAATCACATTTGCTCTTTTCCTTTGTTTTTCCTCCTGAATAACCAGCCATATTATGGATTCCACATAGGATTTTTCCTTTAACAATATTAATGCGTGACTGAATTAAACCATTTTTGTCCCAAGTGTTTTTGTTTGTAGACATTTGAGAATTAAGTCAGGAGGATAGCAAATAATTCCCTTGATTTAGCAAGTAATTTGATAACTGGATTATTCACCATCAGATTATTACCGTAATGAAAGCCTGTAAGTTACAGAAGCATTTGAAAATAAAGTTATTAAATAGCCATTCTCTTTTTATCAAGATAGATAGGAAAATTGTAACATATATTCTTCATTTTGTAATATCACTTCCTTTTCTTAAATAAGTCTTCCAGATCTCTTTAATTTTTATATATATAAGGTAAGAGAGTTCTTAAATGGTGGCTCCAGTTAGATTCATGTCATTTACTGAAATAATATGTGGGCTTCCTTTTGTGGGTATATCTCCCATCTTCCAATAAATGTGTAACTGCCTCCATAACAATACCCCATGAAATGATGAATGTTCATACAATAGCATTAATAGCTCTCTTCCTGCTCTTTTCCAAGATGCCCGAGGAACTGCTTGTACATAATCTGATTGTACTCCAATACCAACTCTCTGAATCAGAGACCATTAAAGCCAGAATTTCAGGCTTCTCATTTGATAGGTGAAGAAACTGAGGCCCTGGAGTTTGGAGAACTTTGTGGAAGTTGTAACACTAGTTAGTGGTAAAATGAGACCTCATTATCTTATTTTCTAGTTGGTTGCCCTTTATGTAACTCCATGTTAATAATGATTAACTTTAAGGACAGAAGTAACTCTAACCAAATGATCCTTTAATGTGGCACTGGTGCTCATCCAGGTCCCTGTGAGGGCAGGATTTGCACTATATCCTCAGAGACCAAAAGCCCACTAACTTCCAGCCCATCTTACCCAGAGATTCAATTTGCTGCTTCAACTCTGCTCACAGGTACCTAGTTTCTTCAGATCCCTGTTATATTGTATGCCCCAGCATGCCACACAAATCCTCAAGGTCACACTTAAACCACATATCTCCCAATCCCTCTTGGCCAGTGAAGAAAGGAAAATGGAAGAGCACAGCTGAGGATGCATTGCTGGCCAGTTTTTCACAGTGAATTTAAGGCCAAGTCCATCTAGTTCAATCAGAAGAGTGGGTTTTCACTTCCCAAATGTTAGTTGAATTTTCCCTCTTGAAATAATTGGATTTAGAAGTTCTGAGGCCTCTATTTTTTTTTTTTTTTGGTACCAGGGATCGAACTCGGGTCCTTGCACTTGCGCAGCAGGCAGCGAACCACTGAGCTAAATCCCCAGCCCCTCTATTTTTTTTTAAGTGTGGAATTATTCCATTTGCACCATTCATTCTCAACTCATTTGTTCAAATCAGACACTTCTAAACAGTAGAAAATAAAATATGCTCCAATTCACTATTTTTAAACCAGTAAAGCACAATTGAGAAAATGAATCCTAACCACTACTTTTCTTCCTCTTCCTCCTCTCTTCTCCTTCTTCTTCTTTGACCAACAATTGCTATAATCCACACTAATGAGGTAGACTGTGCTAAGAATTTTCTTCACTTAACATTTCTCATTATTAATAAATTTTCCACTGACAACTATAAAGTGAACACTTTGGATTTATGCACCTAAACTAATTACATATGCCGCATGTACGCATTTCATTATTTACTTGACAGATTCATTCCTTGATATCATAAATAATTAAACAAGAATCAAATATTAACAATCAGATACATGTTAATTCTCCTCAAATCTGTAGAAACAAACTACATTTTTATCTTCAGTTCAACGAGCACTGATTAAAATTTCTTCATTAGGCAAATTTCATAGGCAAAGT